TTTGGTTCTTCTCCACATTCTGACCGGGTGATCCAGGAATTTCCCTATGATTTTTTCAACTAATATTTCGATATAGAAAGATCTCCTTATTTCTTCACCGCGGATTCTTGCGTCATTTTCTTGAATTATATCACCGTGGGACACTTTCAAATGAGTAATGCTTACCATTCTATTATTCACACAAACCCTTCGATGACTTATCAGCTGCCTTGCTTGAGGAATAGTTTCACAAAAATGGAGACGAACCAGAATAACGTCCAATCTTGAATGAGAGAGTGGTTAATTTAATTTAATCAGATATTGTATAAGCAAGAGCTTCCCAGAAAAGAACGTTCTTTACTGCAACCAAGTTCAAGAAACTGCTAATTAAGATACTATGCTGGTATCTATCTAAAAGTCAATATCTGTGAGAAGCTTCTTTCTCATACACATCCGAAGCAACGTCTGATCATCATCATTAGATAGTTTAGCTGGTCCTTGAAAGAGCGTCATCAGTCTAGCTCGTCATGACTCGATCATGGCCTTAGGCGGAATTGGTCCTGGCCGGAAGAACGAAAGATACCGGCAAGCACAGCTCACCGCTTGTCCCTGGGAGTCTTAGGAGCGGCCCAAACGACCACAGAGCGCCTCGAACCTCTTTCTGAAATGCTCGCACATCTCGGATAGGGGGGCAAAGGTTGGCAGTAAGCAAGAAGCAAGCAGGTACCTATAAGCAGCAAGTCAGCAAGCCCAACTCGTCTTAGGGATGGAGATTATGCTCCTAGAGCCAAGGCAGAAAGAAGCCTTTTTTCAGCTCCAGCGCCTCTTTCTTTTGCACCCTGAAGATGATTGAGGGAAGGAGGCAGCACTAAGAAGGTTCCACCTTTGACACAGACCTACAGCATACCATATCGAAAAGAGATCCTCAAAGGCGCTGAAAGGAAGAAAGAATAAAAAAGTCATGGTAGAAGATCTCGCCAAGAGCACAGGCGAGCTATAAACAAAGGCTCTCAGGGATGAGGTCTTCGTGATCCCGGGCACAGCGCCAATCCCAGGCAAGAAAGAGAAAAATCCAATCTAGCACAAAAAGTTCCTCGGATGTGAATTATCGGGATGCTTGATAAGAGCAAGATCATAGGAGTGGTCGCCAACGTCCGACAAGCAAGAAAGCGGCATAGGGTAGTGGACTGACCCCTCTCTATAGTGCTGTCGCTATCGACGACTGAAGGATGAGTCTAAAGACTGAGGTGAGGCAAAAAGAATGAAGTTGATCATCTCCTTTTTGAAAAGCTAAAAAAAAGTGCAAAGGAACTGAGTCTTCTTCCATCTCATATACCAGATAAAAAGAGAGAAAGCCCCTTAGCGGCGAACACGGGGACTGATTCCCATTGAGAAAGGGACTTTTGGCTACATACCTTCTTAGCGATCAAAGTGGGGTACTGCACTTCATCAACGAAGTCAGCGCCAATCTTTTTGTCGACCTCTCATAGTCTTTTTCCGTCAAGAGCTTGAAGGAAACGTCTCGGCTCGGCGTTGAAGAGAGAGAGGACATTCTAAAGATAGTTGTTAAGGAAGCATCCGATTGAGAACTACGAGTAGGGGCTGTGAACCTGTCAGCTCAACCAGTAGACGGTGTAAAAGTAACTGGTGAAAGAGTAAACGCTGTTGGAGTTTTAAAGGCAACTGTGAACCCGCTGTTCAATCATCCCCAGTTAGAAAGGTAACCTCATGCCTAAGCGCTGTTCGAGAAGGATATGTGGGACTTAAGGGGTATGCCTTCCCTTCTGACTTTCCTTCGTCACCCGATTCCTCTCCTGATTACTTTTCTTTATTGCCATTTCCTGCTTTCCTAACCTTCACCCCCCTTCGGAAATATAAGGCAAAGCAATGAAGCTATCCGTGAAGAAGTGATTCCCAAGCGCGACACGGTCTGTCTACTCCACTGACTGGGAGAGGAAGCAGCATTTTGAACCAGATGCCAGCGGGTAGCTGCGCCGGAACCATGTTTTTGAATATCTGGGCTTTGAAAGACCAGTCGATGATCCATCCCTTGTTTTTCCCGTATATCACCCTTCGATCCCCTAATTTTCTCACTGGTTTCGAATGCCTCTCATCCCCGCCTGCTTCATTCGACTAAAAAGTCTTGATCGTACAGATCACTGAGATTCATTTCGATCGATTCTTCCCTAAAATCTTCCTCTTTTTGAGTTTTTACACGACCTCTGGTAATATGTGAATTCTGCTTTCCCTCTCCGTTGAATGAACTAACTACGGGGCTGCACTCGTCTCCCGAGCCAGAGAGCAAGACAAAATGAGAGGCCTGAAAAAAGATCCCCGTAGTTAGGAAGTAGTTCCTGGGCTCTTAAATCAACTACACTCAGGGGCGAGACAGGAAAGAGAGCACCGGATGATTGAACACTAGAAAAATCTCTAGCAAGAGTACCGGTGCTTACTCTTGCACCGCTTACGGGAGCAACTTCTTCTTTAACAACTTATTCTGTCTCTCAATCCGATTGTGGTCATACTTCTTCGACTAGGGAATTTGCTTCTTACCATAGAATAAATAGGAATGAAACTACTGCTATGGAATCTTCTGTAACAGACTATTCTCTAGGAGCGGATTCTTGTACTGATGAGTAAGAAAGTAGCTTCAAGCTAGGAGCTAAATCCCACATCGAAGAGCATGTGTCAAGCATAGTGGCATGCTCTTTCGACGATCAGACCTAAGAAATTTCTCTTTCTTATTCAACTGAAAGAACAACTTCCAAGTCAGTTACAAAAAGAGATTGAAAAAAGAACTCAAACTTTATAAACGACTGATACTACAGGAGAGTAGCTTCAAGAAGTCGACGAATAAGTAGAGATGGAATCAGCGACTGCGGAGGAGATAGATAGTTGTAAAAAGCTCGCCCTAAACTAAGGGTGGGAGAGGTTAGTATACGCTCGAACAAAGGGAGAGGAGTTGGCTGTCAGATTTGAAATGTGAGAAGCAAATAGTTCAGCTATAGGTTTCGGAGGGGAAGATCTCTCTTCCTCTTCTTTCTTGTCTTCTTATTCAATAGAGAGTAGGGCGGGAAGTAGTCTTCTTGCTAGCTTGATGGCTGTGACGAAAGAGCAGGCAATCTTTCCTCCGATTCATCAAACCGCAACACTTGATCTTGCCCCGCTTGCACCGTTCACTCACTCCTTCAGGAACATAAGAGAGAAAATTCGTTCATCAGTCGGTCTCTTCTTATCCCCAAGAGCTACTGCACTACGCCTAGCGGAAGGAAAGGAGGTCTTTTAGACTGTAGCCTACTTTAAGGTTGAAGGCGAGCGAAGGATACTAGCCAGACCGAACGGAGGGATTGAGTGATAGATTGATCGACGTCCGAAGCCGAAGAACGCTCGACCGCGAGTCCCAAGGCGAATTGTAAGCCCCAACAACAAAGGAACGAGCATTTTTGGGGACTAGCCCGCTTACCATTACTCAAGCAATCGATATCACCTCACCAAAGGGAAACTTCACACTGGCCAATTTCACACCTTCCGAATGTGCCATTTGACCGAATGTGACAGCTAATCAAAAGACACTAATTCGGTTTCAGGAACAGGAGAAAGGATCGGGTCTTGAAGCTAAAGATCAATCTAGAAAGCAGAGTCCAAGATGTGTTAAGCATATCACTTAATATGCCATCTTTCGGGAACATGAGAATGGTATGCCCAGCTAACTAAGGGACATCACAAAGATTGGGACCTGAAGTGGTAGAACGAAGAAGGTCAACCAAGTGTACTAATGTGGGCATTTTTTCTGAAAGCCTTTCTTAGCTTTATGGCTGATAGCATGAACTTGGTCTTCTTGGGACCTCTCTCTCTTCTCTTCCTCCTGCAAAGAAAGAACAGAAGAAAGTTGCACTACCGGCAGAAAGCAGCTAGTCTAAGAATAAGAGAACAGCGGATAAGACGAAAAGAGCAACTTCTCTTGCTGCGGATGAAGTAAGGCATTCTCGAAGAGTAACTTTCACATCTTGTCCAATTCTTCCCGCAAACCTTCCAACAGCAGGGGATTGGCCTTCTCTTAGTCCTATTGCTATGCTCTCTTCCCCTTCGATACGTGACAGCTATTGATCCGATCGGAAAGGCAGGAAGTGCCACATCTGTGTCAAGCTTCCTGTACTGCTGCTATTGTTAATGCCCAAGGCTTCTAAACCTTCGATGAGGTGAAGGCACGTATTCGGATCTCACCCTTAATTTCTAGTTACCCGTTAATGTCCCATCTAAGAGCTAGCTTTTTGTCTTTCTCGATGCTTGAATAGCCCTAAGCAATGCCACCTGCTTTTTGCCCTAACAGCAGATTCTACCCCCTGACTTGATTCATCGGAGATTGACGGGAGAGCTTGTCTTTTGAAAGGGTAGCGGGTAAGCATGAAATCCAGTAAGAAAGGCACTAAGACGAATTCCGTCTAAAAGGCCTATAGGTCTTACTAACTTCAGAGTCAAAACCAGTGAGAGTTACGATAGCACCAGTTTTCCAAAGACTTTACGGAGATCATCAGTACTTCTACGAGGTTTTTTCCTTAGGTAAATCAGCGTAATCCCGAGCTTCTTTCACCCCCGAAAAAGGATTTCCATTCTCCTTATCAGTAGTAGGCTTGAATTGAAAACAGCTTGTATTCGATGCCTACTCTTTATATATGTCACTTCCGTCCCCCAATCCCCTTCCCTCAGGAGTGAAGTTGCTTTCCTTGGGTCAAATGTGGCATTTCTTCTATTATACGATACCGTAGAAATGGAAATGGGAAGGAAGGATTCATGGATGCACAGAATATTCTGGGGAAGAAGCTCTTTGGCTGTTGTGCTAGAATCAGATGTGGTTGAGCTAGTGGGATAGATTGACTATTCATATTTATCTTCCTATAAGGGAAAAAAGGAAGGGAATGGACCTTCTCAATCCAAGACTTTCGGGCAATCAATTGACTTATTAAAGGAGCTTTTAAGCCCCTCGCGAGTAAATAGTCTTTACCACTACTACCTGCTAACTCCTCGCCTAATCCCTCTGGAAATTTGCCCGACTAAGGCCTCAGCCAGAACCCCAGACGGAGAGAAGAAGCTCTTCCCTTTGAACGAATCTTGCTCTCTTATCTGCTTCTTCTTTTGTTGGCAATTCTTCTGTTGTCGGAATACCCGGTCTTGTCGGAAGGGAAGAGAGAAAAAGAAAATCGGATGTGGTAGCTGTTGGGAAGGCAGGACGAGAACTATAGTATAGGACGGGAACTAGAGTGCTCTAATTGCTCCTTCTCCGGTTGAAACCACTGTTGCCTGATCCGGAACCAGCTCTAGCTACTGTTCCATCTCCTGCACCGTTCTGCGCCTTTTTGAATTTGAATGAAAGGCCTAGCTTTGATGCTTTCTTCTTACCCACGCGAGATTGTTACCTAGGTGAGAGCTCTGCGTCCGTCTTGGACTGAGGGGCGATAGCGAAGTCTGGGGCCTAATACACTTTTTTTTTAAGTGCAAGTCCTGCCCTTATATGCCTATCCCCTACAAACCTAAGCGGCCCACCTGAGCCTTGAAAGCAAGAACTGTACGAGCCGAACGGACGAAACAAGCGAGTCCTACTTTGACTGCCTTGTCTACCCACCCACTACACAGGCCTGAGTTAGGTACAAAGGCACTCACTTTTAAGCATATCGAGGCTAATGTAAATTAGTATGCCAAAGGGATAAGTCGATCCAAGCGAACCGAGCAAGTCATTTCGTCTTTTCGGGATGAACTTATCGTGCGCTACGCCAGGCTAAAGACAAGAAAGAAGAAAGAGCGCACCCCTCTCGTGGTTGGGAGCTTCACTCTGCTAGTTTCCGCTGTGGTCTTCCCTTATTTAGCTCCTTGGCTTGAGTGCGCAATAGAAAGCGGAACTGCTCTTTCGTGCAAGACAAGAACGCTAGAGGTAGAGACACATTTACAAGACAGGCCGGAAAAATGAACATTTTCAAATTTAGTAGTAGCTCTTCCCGAGCTGCTTTCTGACGCTAAGGCCATCTGAGAAGGAAGAAGACGCATCTTCCAATAATAAGTACCACAGCCGGCAAAGTTTTTAGAGTCGGGTTTAGGGTTTTGATTTTCTTATCAGAATCCATACCAGGAGTTTTGGAGAAAGGCCAACTTGGCTTTC